TAACGCATAATGTGGGAAAAAACAAAACAAAAAACGTCAGAATGAGAAAGCCTTCATTAGTTTCGACAGTATATCCTCATTATAATTTTTCACAATGAACAAGGGTTGCTTAATTTCTAGTAACACTCCAGTATGAAACTTCACGATTAAGTCTGCATAAAACTCTTATAATTATCGTTTTACAATAACTTTTTTTCACATTATGTACGTCTGTTTTGATTTCCAAACAGTGCTTTCTAGGAATAGTCTGAAGTGGAAGAAATTGTCTAGGATTAAACCTTATCATTTGCCCTTTTGTATAGATAGTATAACCAAATTCTCTGATATTATCAAATTGTTCAGTGCTCCATTCTTCTCCTACTTAAGAATAAGCCTTTAAAGTTTTGTGAATTTGAAGAATACAACAGAACGCATGACTGTGATAATCGTGTACAAAAGAGCTGTACGTTATATAAGTTTGTAAAACTGGTTAAACTGTAATAAAGAATATTTAATCAAGAACCACAGGGTGTTTTTTTACGGACGATGTACATTCTTTCTTATTATGAGAACAAATATATTTATTAATTCTGTGCTGTATTTCACAAACAGGCAGGCCTTTATTTGGCCCATGCAGTACTTAAGATTAATACAAAATGGCGGAAAGAATAAGACACTAGAGGCTTTAGTTCAACCTTGAATATAGCCCTCTGGTCAAAAGGGTAAAATCAACAAAAGCTCCCTCCCCCTATCTTTTTCTATACAAAATGTAAAATGTTCTTGCGTTAGTTCTCAATTGTATTTCATATTCAATAACTATGTACGTAGCATGCTGGTAGACCTTGTTTACGGCCTTTCTTGCGCCACTAGCCACAGGCCAAGAAGGTGAACTATTTTTAGGAGCCAATGCCGATTCCACCCTTTGTCATTTATTATAGGAATGTACCAAGATCCAGGTAAACAGTCCGACCCTGACGTTATCTCATGGCTAAGCCACCATTGCCAAATGTAGGCTGCCGACCATTGGGGCGTGACCCTGAGCTATCTTTAGCATAAGACTGACCCACATCTAACTTGAAAAGGGTAGCAAGCAGAATTACAAGGGTTAGGTATAAACCCCGGTGGTTTGCAAGGGTTAGGTTCCAACGCGTCGGTGAAACATAATCAATCCCAGTATTTCCGGAGTTTTCAAAGAGGAAATTTTAAGAATCCATACAATGGGGAGGGAAAACTGAGGTTACCAAAAATAAACTCTTTTTATCGATGGAAAGGAAGAAAAAAAAGTCGACTACCATCTGGAGTTAGTCCACGTAAACATGTTTTTTTGTTTACACTAAACTTGTCTCGTACGTTCATCGTGGTGATCACTTTTTATCTTTCCATTCTAAATTACGTCAAAAATACCCGATATGACAAACTTTTTATCACTCAACTGCAAAACACATTTTTGAGCTAATTGATGAACTCTTCAGGTTGATTTAAACTTGATTTATCTCTAACCTTCACTTTGCTGGTTACAGTTGTTTACTGCATAAAATACAGAAAACCTTAACTGCAGTTTCACCAAATAATGAAAACAAACACAAAAAAGTAAATTAGATTAAAACAACTGGTGCGCATACATTTCATATATAGCTACAAAACAGTCTTGTCAACTGTTTCGTACGTCTATAGTTTAAGTATGTTTGCTTTTCTTCAGAACACACAATACTGAAAATAACTATTCAGCATTCAAAATGATACAATTGTGCGTAGGTTGACAAATAGAACCCATCGTAACTAATTATGCACATTGATAATATTTAGAATGATTTAATTACCTCCCAAATGTTTATAAAGTACGTTCTTCAGAAATCGAAAATGGGATGATTTACGCTGGATCACCTTCAGAAATATCAACAATAACCATAATTTTGTTTCAAGTAAAATTTAAACGGATTAGACGTTAGCATGACCAACTCTAGGAGTGTGACCTTCGGCACATTTCATTCAGTAACGATTACTCGTCCATTGTTTTGTATAGTTAGCTCTAACTAAACGCTACATCCAGTATATGTATAATATACTGACCAAACTATCACGTGGTTATTAGCTGACCTTATTTATCATCTCTGCTCTCAAACTAGGGCAATCCATGTAAGATAATGTGTACAAACTGGATTATACCAGTTGAAATTCCCATGTCTTAAGTTATTGGAAATTTTGTCAAACATTTCAGTTTTAGTGGAACGAAAACTGTTTTCTTGTTCTTATGTTGGTTAATAAGCATAGTGTAAGTATCAGACTAATTTTTATATCATATTAGTCAAAGCTACAGTTCTGTTTACCACATTCAAGCTACGTCTTAGATGTAATAATGCCGTGGTCTGTAATGACGTTATAGGTCATACACCAGTTCTGTACTACTTGGGTTAAAGCTGTGGAATATTATTCTCTCACACAGGTTAAAGTTTTATCTGAAGAAATAGTGTAGGCAGCTACAACTGCACAGCTGGAGAACAGTTTGAAAAAGTAATATTAAGCACTATAGACAAATAATGGAAATAAGCACTATTCAAAAAATGGGCAGAAGAACTTGTTGTATAAAAATTTAATCACTGAGTCAAAAGCTGGTTAACAAATTTTATCAAGGACATCCAAGGAACTTTAATTTCATCATGGAAGAATTACTGACTCAAAAGTTGGTTAACAAGTTTTATCAAGGACATCCAAGGAACTTTAATTTCATCATGGAAGAATTACTGACTCAAAAGTTGGTTAACAAGTTTTATCAAGGACATCCAAGGAACTTTAATTTCATCATGGAAGAATTACTGACTCAAAAGTTGGTTAACAAGCTTTTATCAAGGACATCCAAGGAACTTTAATTTATCATGGAAGAATCACGGAGTCAATGCCATTTGTTGAAATGTATCAAATCTAGGGAATAAAAGAAATTGTTCTCCAACTTCAACTTTCTACAGAAAACACTTTACAAACAGCATGTTTTGAACCAGTTTGCCATACACATAGACAAGTGGCAGAAGATGCAAGACCAAGAACTGCCACTTTTGTTGATAAGTCAGCCATAGAACATAATATGGTTATGTTTTAGAACACAATCCAAAAACTCTTCATTTAGTTAATAAGTATAGTCACCAAAAATGACGCATCTGGACAAACCTACACACATTACATAATTCAGGTTAGATGCATTAGTACGACTGTCCTCAAGTTTGTCTGTAAGAATCAATGACAAAATGGATAACAATAGTTTCAATGCAGCATGGTTATATTACTATATTTTATCTTTCTCTTACTTCCAAAACCAAGATTATGTATCAAAACAGTGTAAGGGCTGAATTAATTTATTGTAGTTTGTATTCACTTCAGGTACATATAGTCACTTACAATGATAAATACAACACTGTTCAACCTTATTCTCAGTACCTCAACATTCTGTAGAGAAATTTAATGTTCGATTACTGTAGTCATGTTCACAACATACTGTATCTAATATTTATTAAACATGCTTTAGTTCAATACAGTATTATCCTACTTATTTACTCTGAGTTAGTTAAAATTATTAAACATGCTGTAGTTCAATAGTGTTTTCCTACTTATTCACTCTGATTAAGAAGTTAGCACACAGGATCACATACAAAAGTTGTAATGGTTTTCAAACGAGACCCAAAACTCGAATGCTTTCGAATAGTTCACTATTCTTCTTCATTGAACTATTTGAAAGTGCTTGAGTTTTGGGTCTCATTCAAAAACCATTACTACTTATTCACTGTGATAATGTATTACTTGCAATATTTCTTCAAACATTCTGCAGAATGTTCTATATTCATTATTACATCACATGATATTAGAATCTTGTTACAATAAATGGAAAAAAAACATACAACAGAAACATAATATTATTACATAATTAATTTTATTGTTTCAGCGATACTTTTTTCGATTGGTTGAAATATCAACTGATGGCAATAACAATCAATGGGGAAAACTGAATAATTTCACATATACATTTAAGCACAGATAATGAAAAAACACTACAGTATCATGTATGTATCAATACAAAATACAAAAACATAGTAGAATTCTTCAAAAAGAGATCTATTGTTTGACCAAAGCCTTTGAACATGAAAATAGATTATATTAGTCTCTAAAGTCTAAACCTTTAGGTTACTTTTCAATAAACGTAGTTATAATTAATGATAGCCGAGGCAGAACAATGCAAAATTTAGGCAAGATTGGCAACAAATACTCTTATTTAAACATCTTAAACATGTCCAATTGAGATAATTGTTACTAAATCTGTGGAAGAGGAACATTAAGTCTGTGTCATTTTCTAATAATCAAGAATAAATATAATTCCTGTAAGATGAAAAACCTAGACATAACTACAAACCTGTGAAAACTTAGAATCTGAAAAAACAAAAGTAAAATTCCAATGGAGTCGTAATCCTTAGATAAAAAGAGAGAGAGTACAGAAGCATGCTTATCACATTCAATACTGTAGAGTTGCTTTAAATACTTACATGGTATGAAGTACTACACTACCACAAGTAATCCATTCACTAGATTCCACTGGTGTAATTCTGATTACATATGGGTAAATCTGACTGATCAGACCTCAAAATTTTAAGCAAACATATTTTTGGTTATAATAAATATGTCTGTATTTCATACAGGATAATCAACTTATGAAACAGCTGAAGTATATCATCATTATTAAAACAAAATTCAGTTACTAATTCTATGAAGATTAAACAGGCATTAAGTGACTAATGGTCAGAATATCTTACTGGTATTAATTATTTAAGGAACATATGGGAATGCCTAATGACACTAAATGTCCTCATGGTACACTCAAGAACCTAATAATAATGAAGTTACAACTGTGTAAAATAACAGACAGAACAACTTATTCATCATCAAGTTACAACTGTGTAAAATAACAGACAGAACAACTTATTCATCATCAAGTTACAACTGTGTAAAATAACAGACAGAACAACTTATTCATCATCAAGTTACAACTGTGCAAAATAATGGACAAAACAACTTATTCATCATCAAGTTACAACTGTGCAAAATAATGGACAGAACAACTTATTCATTAAGTTACAACTATGTAAAATAATGGACAGAACAAATTATTCATCATCAAGTTACAAATGTGTTAAATAGTTGTCAAGAAAAACTTATTCATCATCAAGCTATAACTGTGTAAAATAATGGACAGAATAATTTATTCGTCATCAAGCTATAACTGTGTAAAATAATGGACAGAACAACTTATTTGTCATCAAGCTACAATAGTCTGATATAAAAACCCAATGACTTAATAATCACTAAAATACAAATTTAGTTTAATTACTATGCTGTAACTTGTTAGTTTAATCAATTAACTAGAACTTTTTAGTATAATATATTACCTATATTCTTCTAGTTTAATCAATATGTTACAACTTTCTAGCTTAAAGATCACACTGAAATGATAATCATCAGATTATGTTTATATAGAATAAGTAAGAATGATCTAACAGTTATCAGGAAAATAAAATGAGAATGGCACCATGTTTACTGAGCTCTAACAGTTAAGAATAAGGACTAAAATGACTTGATTATCAAGACAACCAATTTTCAACTAAAGGTTAAAGCAATCTGATGATCATTAGGTTAAACAGCCCAGGATAAAGATGATCATCAAGTTACAATGGTCCACAAGTTAAGATGACACAATGATCACTTGTCACAAGTATCTATTGTGAAGATCAGAATGAATGGATGATTATCAAGTTACCAACTACTAGATTAATATTTAGAGCTGTTTTGAACAACAGGTTATCATTGTCCAGGAGAAATTACAAAACAATATTCTGATTGAAATGATACAACTTCTAAGAAAACTTTTTGGTTCCCCTAATGATCATAGTATTACAAATGATCAGTACCCAAACTGGATACTAAGCTACAACTGTCCAGGATAAATATAGCCATCTGGCTACAATAGTCCAGAATAAAGTTCAGGATTACTTGATGATCATTAAGATATAGCTCACTAGAAACCAAATTACAATGCCTGTGGCATTCATGTTACAACTTCTAGAATAAAAACTGGAAAAATACAATGAACATTAAGTTAAAACTATTTAGTATAAAGGTAGATAGAACTGATGATCAATAAGCTAAGATAAAAGTAAGGATGAAAAGCTGAACACCAGGATGCAATATCCAAGATAAACACCAGAAAGATCTAATGATTATCAAACTAAAGCTTTCTATTCAGACTATGGTTTTTCATGATACTCTACCTATGGAATATTAAAACAAAAATGATATTGTAACCTGATGTTTGCTAATCCCTAGCCAATGCACTTTCTGTTTACCATTTCCAAGTACTGTAATTTCGTTACCAGTCTTAGCTTATTTTTAACCCTTAGAAAAATTTTGTTAGATGTACCAGGGTATGTTTTACAATTAGCAATATATCTTTATAATTTCTGATTCCAGGACTATAGATTCCAGGCAGAAAGCTCACACATATTATAAATAAAAATCTCCAAAGAAGAATGATCCCTATAGCCTTTGATGCAAGTTCCTTTTTTTTTATTGTTTTATTTTTATAGTACCCATAAATTACTTTTTAAATGCAGTTTTTGCATGTTTAGTCAACACAGAGTATCTCAGAAACATTATGAACTCTACTCTGGGGTCCATATTGTTTGCTGTATCGCTTATAAATACTACTCCTCCCTCATAATCTGTGCACCATTCATATATAAAAATGTTATATTTTCTATAGGTGTGTATTTAGAATTTTACAGCACTTAAATGGATAAATCCACAGAGCTCTTGGTACAATAAACAATATTTGCCATTATTGGAGTGGTCAGTAACCCATTGATTTAATGTCAACCTTGTGTAGACTTTATTCTACTTGTTCACATGGTATCAGACCACTTTTTTCTATTTTGAGCACTTTGTTATAGAAATCATGCAGCTAATACTCTGGTTTTTGAAAATAGTTTATTTGTAATATGAAACACTGCAATAATTTTATAAAATACACAACCAGATGTTAGATCTGCTATTTGGTCTGTGATATTGTAAAGAAAATGTTACTATGTGATTCTGACACTCACTCATTAACTGATTTCCTCTAAAATACATTATTATAGAAATATAGGTAATTCATCTTGACACTCTGAATGTGATATATGTAGTTAAATGATATTTTATTTTATAAAGCAAAACAGGACCAGTTTATGCAGATGTTATCTAGGAACTCATCTAAGTATGCTACAGACTAATTATAAAAATATACTGGTGCATTTTACAAAATTTTCCAAAGTTTAGAAGTGAGATAAGACTCGTAACCAAATTAAAGTATTTGGGTTATCTTGGAAACCATTAAAAAAACCAAAAAACACACACATTGGATGGAGTAGTTGGCAATTACAATGTAACTTTCTGGGATCAGCAAACATCAGGCTATAGTATCAAACTAATTTCATTATGTTATACCAAAAATAGGGGGGGTATTTCAAAATTTAAAGCCCTTCTGGCATGTTGGCCACAGATTTAAGCATAAAAGTTAGATAGACCTGAATCGGACAGTAACTGTTAAGACAGAAGTTAATGAAATACGGTGATTAACAAGCTACCTGTTTTCAGAATAGAGGTCAAGATAACTTAATGATCCTATTGTTAAAATTTTTCAAAACAATCAAGACAACCCACTAATCCCTAAGTTATGTGATGGATTTATTAGTAATATGTAACAGTTACAATTGTCCAACAGAAAAGTTTAGATAATTCTGTCATCATAGTTATAACTGTACACAATAATGGTCAGTAGGACCTAATGAACAATAACCTCCAACTGTTCAGCACCCTAATGATCACTAAGCTGTAACTGTCCCAAATAAATGTCAGGATGTCTAAGATAGAGACTTGGATGATCTATGTTATTACAGTTACGGGCAGAATGATTTGTTCATTATAAAGAAAAGTTCAGACCTATCAAATAATTATTACATTTCAGTTGGTCAGTATAAAGATACAGATGACTTCATCTTCAGGCCTCAAGTATTCAAAATTAAATGCTAGGATGCCCTGAAAACCATAAAGCAACAACTGTTTAAGATACTCTTGGATGGATTAATGATTATCAGACGTTTGCCTACTATTATGATTACAAATCTTTCCTTATTTTCAGACGTTGAATATTCAGGATAACAGACCACATAACATAATGATCAATAAGTTACAGCTGTTCATGATAGGTATTATGACCTGAGGATCAACAGACTCCACCTGTCCTAGCCAAAAATTAAATAACCTGGGAATTATCAGCTTACAACTTACCAAGATAGAATAAACAGAACCAGGTAAAAATGAGCAGTAACCAATTGAAGTTTTTACTGAAATTTTAAGATTCAACAACCTTATAGATCATAGTTTTAATCTTTGTTTGACCGACTTGCATGACAGTTTCATATTTTTCTAATACATCTTTCATTCACTTCTTGCAACATGGTATCATAGTAAGTTCAGAACTATATAAAAAATTTTTATCTGAAAGATTAATATTACAAAAAAATACAAGTAAATAGCACCTCTTGATACAAAGAAACTTTAAAAATAAATAACTGATTAACTAAAAATTAAAGGTGGGCGATTATTGTTTCCAGAAAAAAGTAGATTATTATACCACCTAACAAAACTTGTGTATCTATAACTACTCACATTTAGGAGCTTTAGAAACATCTGATGCATTCATTATGTAATTACTTTTGAAATTTAACTAAAGTTTCAGAGAAACTTGGCATAAAAAAGTTCAGACTACCATTTTACAGGTCTTCACATAAATCTTGTATTTTCCTTAATAAATGTTAAAGACTGCTATGGTGGAAGCTGCTTTACTGAATGGCAGAAATAACAAACCTCAAATCATTTTAAAACACACACCATTTGACTGTACAAAGGGGTAACTTTATACTGTAAAAAAAACTAACTCTAAATCAAATATTAACAACATTAATGAAATAGTCACCAAAATAAACTTAATTTTTAAAAATAGAAGAAAAAAATGGGAACTAATGAAACCATAAGCTGCATAAATAATATTTTTACAGATTTGGTTTGGATCAGTATGTTTAGGGCAGCAATTCTAAGCAATAAGAGAGAAAAACAGTTAAACAATAACTGAATTCACAAATTTCAATGTGAAGAATTTTTACAAAGGTGTAGCAGTTAAAGTTCACAACTTTCAGCAATATAAGAAAGTTCGAAACATGTTATCACAAGTTACTTTCGACTGAAGAGAGAAAACTAGTAGTGTGGATATTACAAACTATGGAATAAATCCACAGAAGAGTTTACTTAAAAAAAAAAACTACCATTTTTCACTGCACAACATGAGCATTTAATTATCACAAGCTCCACACTTATGAGTACTAGCTTGAACTAGCTAAACAGTGGGACTAAATATGGAATGCTTCAAACACTATTAACTGGTATCTCATTAATTAACATGAATGCAATACTTTCTCTGTTCATCAGCTGGGGCCAAATTCATTAGGATAAAAAAAAGAATCTATGTTCCTTTTAGAACAGAGTAAAACAAAGTAAATTACAGTGATATTAACTTCTCTAATTAGACCAAACAGGATAAAACAATAGAACTATAAAAGTTACTTAAAAGACAAGCAGTGCAAGACATAAAAATTCTTAGCTTTTTTTTTCTAAACAGAAAAAAATATCAAGACAAGTATAAAATCTTCATTTTAAAGAAAACAGGGTAACATAACTAACAAAAATTTTTGTGAAGTAAAATGAAGGTTAGATATAAATTTTTATCTGTTAGATTGGACAGGGTGGAATACACATATCTTAACTCTTCCATGATAGACAGAATGGGCTTGAGCTCTTCTTGCTAGAAATGGAAGATGCACAAATACCAACTATTCTTTCAAGAAAGGAAAAGATAAACGACAGAATTAATTTGCATTACAATGCAATACATCCCCCTGTATTATAAAATGTTAACTAATTTTGATACACAATATGGAGTAAGACACAGAAATATCCATCATTACTCAAGTAATCAGAACAAGACAGAATATTAAAAAAAACAAAAAAAAACTATTCTTGCTGAATATAGCAAAATAGCTACAGAAACATCCACTGTGCCACTTTGCTAATAAGAAAAATGTAGGGTACAAAAAATAAACTTCTTTAGAGAAAAAAACAATTTGGGATAGATAGATATATGAACATATACATAAAGTCAGAATCATGTTTATCATTAAATTCAAACAATATGGTTATGTGTACCCATCACCAGAAGTGTCCACTTAATACACTAAAATAAATAACTTGCAGGTGACTATAGATAAATTTTACTGACATAAAAAATTTCCTTGGAAGAACTTTAATATATAATGTAATCTCATTTTCATGGCTACCAGTTAGTTGAAACGTGAAAGATAGGGTGACCAAGTATATTGTTAACCAAACACAACCTTAACATTAGCTAATAGCTTATACCAAACAAAATACTAGGAATAATATAGTATGTACAAGAAGTTAATATTAAATATATCTTGCTGCAAACACATAAATCTTTACATCTGCTACTTTAGGCATCTATACATCACAGATCACCTCCTTGTTAATATTGTATACTTTTTTTTAATAACTACTGGCTATGTTACATTCATATTAAAAGCCTTGCACACAACAACCACCATTTAAAATTACAAAAAAAAGCAAAATTAGACATCTACAATAAAAAAGCCACTATGAGAGGCAGTCTGTTCCTTGTGTTTAGATGAGCCATCTTCACATCGAGAATCCATCAGTGTAGCTACAACTGCAAAAAAGAAAATCAAATATAGCTATTTAAAAACCTTACATTTACAGCCACTGACCACCTCATTTTTTACAATATTAAGATAAATATCTCATGTAAAACCTAATTTACTAGTTCAGAAATAAATATACAATATACATTTTTTTTTTCTGTGGGATAAAGATAAAAAAACAACTTACTAAAAAAAGAACTTACTTAGGTCTTTAGAAGTAAGACTAATAGTTAAATATTATTTTCACATTCCACTGCATTATTGAAAATCTTCCAAATAATGAGCCATTACATAATTTGTTCCATTCTTTAGTCAATTACTAACTTAATATTTCTTTATAGTACAAGGTCTTGCAAAATGATATTATGAAAATCTTAGTTTATGAAAATATGAGCAAACTGTAATCAGTTTTTTTGGTCCTGAAAATACAAAAAATACTGGTCTAGTTGTTTTTTACTCTACTGGTGAATCAAGGAGGTAAACTTGTTTTATTTTAGTACAAGCTACTTTTTATCCTCCTAATGACACTAATATTGCTATCCTAGTTTTAAATTCTAACTCTAACAACACACAAGTCACATTAATTGGCCTATTTCAGATATACCATAATATATCTTTGTTATAAGAACACAGTTAATACTAGAAGGAACCCATGTTGGCCTAACCTGTAATGACTAAACTAGCTGAGAAAACATTGATCACTGAAAGCCTATTTACCTTCAATACCTTGCTCTACACGTTTGAGATTCTTTAGAACACTGGACAGTTCCCTGGTTAAATTAGCATGGTTAATATCAAGAGCGTAGTCTGGCAGTCTCTTGTCTGTAATCTGGGGAAGAACCTCATCAATCATTAGCCGTGTGTCACTGTTTGTTGGATGCCTGTTTCTTGGGAAAAACAGTTCATTTAAAACAGAATATAGCAAGATGTTCCATTGATTTATTTTCACTTCTGAAATATATTAATAAAAATATTGAACTTACTTCTCTTTTTCCAGAATGATTCTTGCTGTGCTACGAAGTTTGGCTGATAGCTGATAAATAGCTGACACCACCAGGCAGTCCAATGCCTACAGTAGTAATAAAAATAATAATTTTTTAACTAGCTACAGGACATCAATGTCTTAATTCTTACAGTAGTAGCAAATTATCTTTTTAATTTTAATAAATAGCTTATAATGGTTGATTTATTGAAAAAAATTCAAGTCCCAGACTGAGAGGGTGTCACCAATATCCCTTCGCTCTTTCCTTCCGATAGTGTTTGTTTGTTTGTTTTTGAATTTCACGCAAAGCTACACAAGGGCTATCTGCACTAGCCGTCCCTAATTTAGCAGTGTAAGACTAGAGGAAAGGCAGCTAGTTATCACCACCCACTGCCAATTCTTGGGCTACTCTTTTATCAATGAATAGTGGGATTGACCATCACATTATAATACCTCCATGGCTGAAAGGGCAAGCATGTTTGGTGTGATGGGGACTCCAACCTGCAACCCTCAGATGGCGAGTCAAGTGCCCTAACCACCTGGCCATGCCGGGCCTTTCTGATAGTGAAAATACTTAACCAAATTGTAGGAAACAGAACTAACTTACTAAATAATTAAATGCTGCTTAATTTCAGCTTAAAGAAATTCATAAGATTTAATGAAGTTTTGTATCATTTTTTTTTATTGGGAAATATCCAAACTTTTGCTGTGAGACACTGTTTCAAAATATATCAAGACTACTTTCTTTTGTTGTACAATTTCAGTTATTTTAAATGATGATTGAAAAGTTCCATAATTACAATCTCAACTCACAAAGAAACCACTTAACTGAAGAACAAAAAGAAGAAATGATTATTTTTTTGATGAAAGGGCCCAACATCAAACATTTGAAATATAGATGTGTAATCGAAACCTCTACCAGTGGTGACAGGTGCTAGTTTTGACTTGAAATGTGCATAATAGCTCATTTGGTACACTATCTTATTGCTCTTTAAAGCGCATAATAACATTGAGAATATTATTAATTGTATTAGTGTTTAACTCCTGCTTTTTATTTTTTATTCATTTTCAATTAAATATGGTAATAAGATGATACAATATTACTTCATTCTGTAACTTAGTTCTGAAAATTTTGTTTTAAATTACCATGAAACAAGTTCTACACCTGATACTTTATTTTTTAAGTTTTACTCAAACTTGAATTCAAATTAAAATATAAATCTCAGTATTAACAAATTAAAACTATTTTAAGGAAAACCAGTTCTATAGTTTATATGTACTAAACTTCATGGAAATTTATTTTAAATTATTAACTAAAGTAATATTCTTAAAAATTGATTGAAAATACAGTCAACACAATTTTTATGCAAATCAAACTCAATAGTAGTCAAATTTAAATTTTAATTAAGCATTTTTGTTCCAAGTGACCCATGTAAGTTATTACTGACTTTGAATGAGATCTAATCCAGATCTTTGTCTATTTACTGACATGTTTATTTACAATTGATCTAAATTTCATATTCGTAGGCTGCCATTAATCAATCACGTGATGCATCTGCCATTACGATAATGAAATAAAATGCACGTCTCTAATCATAACAATATTGATCCTTTGTTTACATTTCATAAATTGCTATTTACTTTGAGAATCAGCAATGGATAGTGAAAAAAGGTGAAGGTACTTCATGTGTCATCAATGGCAAAGTTTTTTTTTTACCCTGGTTGAGGTAATGACTTAATTTAACACTTTTAATTATCAATTGGAAATAGATGATCAATTAATGCTTGTTTTAATGCGACTTAAGTTACACTTGATATTTTATGACCTGTTTCACAGATTTGGAATAACAAAAAGCCTGGCATGTAAAATGTTTAACTTGTGGATTTCAGTTCTGGCAGATAAATTAAAGGAACGTGTTGCATGGCTGCCTAGGGAAACCATTCGAGAATATTATCCACTGACAACATGCATAATAGACTATGCTGAAACTTTTATCCAAAGATCCACAAACTTGGAGAGTAGATGTGTGAACTTCAGTAATTATAAATCTCACAACAATGCAAAATATCTTGTTGGTATTTCCTCACATGGGCAAATTATGTCTATATCTAAAGCTTTTGGTGAATGAGCTAGTGACAAGTTCACAGTAGAAAGAAGTGGATTTCTAAATTATCTCTTGCCTGATAATGAAATAATGGCAGATAGGGGATTCACAATTGATGACTTTAATAAACACCTAACAACAACAAATAGTAATTTTTACATTAGTGAAAAAACAAACAAAAAAACGATTACACGATGTTTAATAAATAGTTGACACTAACAATAAAAATACTGATTAATTATACTTATCATGAGACATAAGTACTAAGCCTATTATATTTGTAAACACTACATTCTTTAAATAGTGGGATTGACCATCACATTATAATACCTCCATGGCTGAAAGGGCAAGCATGTTTGGTGT